TACTGGTTTATACTGGTCCATACTGGTCCATACCGGTCCATACTGGTTTATACTGGTCCATACTGGTCCATACTGGTCCATACTGGTCCATACTGGTCCATACTGGTCCATACTGGTCCATACTGGTTTATACTGGTCCATACTGGTCCATACTGGTCCATACTGGTTTATACCGGTCCATACTGGTCCATATTGGTCCATACTGGTTTATACTGGTCCATACTGGTCCATACTGGTCCATACTGCTCCATACTGCTCCATACTGGTCCATACTGGTCCATACTGGTTTATACTGGTGCAGCTGCTGCCGCTGCTCCTGGGGGCGCTGCCGATCTCGGAGGATCTCGAGGAGGAGGCGCCGGTGCTGAACTTCCTGCTGAGGGCGGGGCCCGAGCTGGTGAGCCCCAAAATCGCCCAAATTCACCCCAAAATCCGGCCCCGAGGATCCCCAAAATTTGGGGGAAAAAATGGGGGAAAAATTAAAAAAAAAAAAGTGAAAAAATCCGGCGGAATTTGGGGAAAATACAGCAAAATATTCAAAATATTGGGGGGATAAAATGGAGCAAATTGACCCCAAAATCTGCCCCGAAAATTCCCAAAATTTGGGGGAAATTTGGGAAAAAATTTGGGCGAAGGTTGGGAAAAAAATGCCAAAAAAAAATTCGGGAGAAATTCAACAAAATTCCCCCCAAAATTCCAAATTCAACCCAAAATTCCTGAATTTCCCCCATATCCTGCCAAATTTCTTCCCAAATCCCAAAAATTCCCCAAAATCCCCGAATTTCCCCCAAAATTCTGAAATTTCTGCCAAAATTCCCCCAAATTCTGAATTTTCCCCCCCCAAAAAAAATCCCAAAATTTCCTCCAAATTTCAATCTAAATTCCCCCAAAAATTACCAATTTCTCCCCAAAATTCCCAATTTTTTCTCCAAAATCCCCAAATTTTTCCCCAAATTTTGGCAAAATTCCCAAATTTCCCCCAAATCCCCCAAAATTTACCCAAAATTAACCCAAAATCCCCAATTTCTCCCAAAAATTCTCCCCAAAATTCTCAATTTTTACCCTGAAATTCTCCAAAATTCTGAATTTCCCAAAAAAAATCCCAAAATTTCTGAATTTTCCGCCAAAAAAATTCCTCAATTCCCGCAAAATTACCCTAAAATTCCCAACTTTTCCCAAAGTTTCTCGAATTTTCCCCAAAATTCCTGATTTTTTACCCCAAAAATCCCAAATTTTCCCATTTTTTCCCCAAAATTTCCCCAGAAAAATCCCCCCAAAATTCCCCCTCATATTCCCAATTTTTTCCCCCAAAAATCCCCAAATTTTCCCCGAATTTCCCCAAAATTCCTGAATTTCTGCCAAAATTCCCCCAAAATTCTGAATTTTCCCAAAAAAATCCCAAAATCCCCCCAAAAGTTCCCCAAGTTCTCCCAAAAATTTCCCCCAAAATTCCAAATTTCTCCCCAAAATTCCCAAATTTTTCCCCAAAAATTCCCCAAACTTCCCCAAAAATCCCCAAAATTCCCAAATTTCTCCCAAATCCCTCAAAATTTCTCCTCAAATTCCCAAATTTTCCCAATTTCTCCCCAAAATTCCCAAATTTTTCCCCCTAAAATCCCCAAATTTTCCCCCATATTCCCAAATTTTCCCAAAAAATTCCCAAAATTCCCCCAAAACCCCCCAGAATTCTCAATTTCCCTCAAAAATCTCCAACTTCTCCCCAAAATTCCCCAATTTTTCCCCAAAATCCCCAAATTTTCCCTGAATTTCCCCAAAATTCCCCAAAATTCCCAAAATCCCCCCAAAAATTCCCCCAAAAATCCCCAAATTCCCCCCAAATTCTCCCCAAAAATTCCCTTTTTTCCCCCTAAAATCCCCATTTTCTCCCCAAAATTCCCCATTTTTTCCCCCGATTTTTTTCCCCAAATTCCCTAAAATTCTCCCCAAATCCCCGAAACTCCCAAATTTTCCCAAAATTCCCCCAAAATTTGGGAATTTTTGGCCCCAGCTGCTCCCTCACCTCGCGGCGTTCGTCGGCGCCGTCGGCCCCGGCCTGGCCCAGCGGCGCCTCCCGGCAGGTGGGATGGAAAATTCGGGAATTTGGGGAATTTTGGGGAGAAATTCGGGAATTTTGGGCAATTTCGGGGAAAAATTGGGGATTTTGGGGGAAAAAATCGGGATTTTGGGGTGAAAATTGGGTGATTTTAGGGGAAAAAAGTGGGAATTTGGGGGAAATTTGGGAATTTTCGGGAATTTTGGGGGATGTTGGGGAGAAATTTTGGGATTTGGGGTAAAATTTGGGGATTTTGGGGGGAAATTTGGGGATTTGGGGGAAAATGGGAAGAATTTTGGGAATTTTTGGTGGAAATTTGGGGATTTTGGAGAAAATTTGGGAAAAAATTTGGGGATTTGGGGGAATATTGGAGAATTTTTTTGGGTTTTGGGGGGAAATTTGGGGATTTCAGGGAAAATTTGGGAATTTGGGGGGAAATTTGGGAATTTTTGAGGGAAAATTTGGGAAGTTTGGGAGAAATTTTGGGAAATTTGGGGAATGTTGGGGGAAAATTTGGGGATTTAGGGGGAAAAATTCGGGATTTTGGGGGGAAAATTGGGCAATTTTGGGGGAAAAAGTGGGAATTTGGGGGAAATTTGGGAATTTTTGGGAATTTTGGGGGATGTTGGGGAGAAATTTGGGGATTTGGGGTAAAATTTGGGGATTTTGGGGGGAAATTTGGGGATTTTGGGGAAAATGGGAAGAATTTTGGGAATTTTTGGTGGAAATTTGGGGATTTTGGAGAAAATTTGGGAAAAAATTTGGGGATTTGGGGGAAAATTGGAGAATTTGTTTGAATTTTGGGGGGAAATTTGGGGATTTCAGGGAAAATTTGGGAATTTGGGGGGAAATGGGGGGTTTTGGGGGAAATTTGGGAATTTTTGGGAATTTTGGGAATTTGGGGGAAAATTTTGGAATTTGGGGAGAATTTTGGGAATTTCTGGTGGGAATTTGGGGGGAAATTTGGGGATTTTGGGGGAAAATTTGGGAACTTCTGGTGGAAATTTGGGGATTTTGGGGAATGTTGGGAGTTTTGGAAGAATTTTGGGATTTGGGTGGAAAATTTGGGGATGTTGGGGAGAAATTTGAGAATTTGGAGGGAAAACTTGGAGATTTGGGGGGGGAATTTGGGGGAAATTGGGGGAATTTGGGGAGAATTTTGGGAATTTTTGGAGTAAATTTGGGAATTTTGGAGAAAATGTGGGTAAAAATTTGGGAATTTTAGGGGGAAAATTTGGAGATTTTGGGTAAAAAAATCTGGAATTTGGGGGAAATTTGAGACTTTTTTTGAATTTTGGGTGGAAATTTGGGGAAAAAAATTTGGGATTTTGGGGGGAAATTTGGGAATTTTTGAGGGAAAATTTTGGAATTTTGGGGAAATTTGGGACATTTTGGGGGAAATTTGGAAAAAAAATTTGTGAATTTGGGGATTTGGAGGGAAAGTTTGGAGGAAATGTTGGAAATTTTGAGGGGAAAATTTGGGATTTGGGGGAAAATTTTTTTGTAATTTTGGGAAATTTGGGGAAAACTGGGGACAAAAAATTGGGAATTTTGGGGAAAAGTTGGGAAAATTTTGGGAATTTAGGGGAGAATTGGGAATTTTGGGGGATTTCGAGGGAAAATTTGGGGGATTTGGGAATTTTGGGACAAAAATATGGGAATTTTGGGGAAAAAATGGGAATTCAGGGGAGTATTTGGGAATTTTGGGTGGAATATTGGGAATTCTGGGGGGAATTTGGGGGGAATTTCGGAAAATACTGGGTATTTGGGGCAGAATTTGGTAATTTGGGGAAATTCAGTAATTTCAGTGAAAAATTTGGGAATTTGGGACAAAAATTTGGGAATTGGGGGAGATTTGGGAATTTGGAGGGGAAATTCGGGGAAGATTTGGGGGAAAATTTGGGAAAAAATTTGGGGATTCTTGGGGGGGAACTGGGGATTTTTTTTTCTCTTTTTTTTCTCTTTTTCTCATTTTTTTATCTTTTTTTTCTCATTTTTTCCTCAATTTTTTTCTTTTTTTCCCTTTTTTCTTTTTTTTCTCTTTTTTCTCATTTTTTTCTCATTTTTTCTCCTTTTTTCCTCATTTTTTTTCTTTTTTTTTCATTTTTTTCTCTTTTTTCTCATTTTTTTCCCTTTTTTCTCATTCTTTTCTCATTTTTCCTCCTTTCTCCTCTTTCCCCGGCCCCGCCCCCTGCCAGGGCTCAGCCAATCGCTGCTGGCGCTGCTCCGGGCGATGGGCGTGGCCAACCCGCGGCACTTCCGGGTGGGCGTGGCCTCCCTGGACCCCGCCCACGCCGCCATCTTGGCCCGGCTGCTGGATGACGTCACCGGCGACCAATAAAAACGCGGGAAATCAGAAAGGGGGCGTGGCCTGCGCGGAGGGGGCGGGGCTTGGGGAAAATCCAGGAATTTACAGAAATTCCCAAAAAATTCCAAGAAATTTCACCCCGAAACGTCCGGAATTCACCTGAAATTCCCAAATTTAACCCAAAATTCCCAAATTTCACCCAAAATTCCCAAATTTCACCCAAAAATTCCCAAATTTCACCCAAAAATTCCCCAAAATTCACAAATCTCACCCAGAATCTCTTAAAATTCCCAATTTTCGCCCAAAAAAATTCCCGGATTTGATCCAGAAATCCCCAAAATCCCCCAGAATTCCCAAATTTTACACCAAAAATTCCCCAAAATGCCCAAATTTCACCAAAATTTCCCAAAAATTTACAAATTTTCAACCGAAATTCCCAAGTTTCAAAAAAAAAAAAAAATTGCTCAAAATTCCCAGGTTTTGTCAAGAATTCCCAAATTTCCCCCAGAATTCCCCAAAATTCCCAAATTTTGCACAAAAATTTCCCAAAAATCTGAAATTTCACCCAAATTTCCCAAAAATTCCCAAATTTCCCCCAAATATCCTGAAAATTTCCAAATTTCACCCCAAAATTCCCCAATTCCACTCAAATTTCCCCAAAATTTCCAAATTCTTCCCTAAAATTCCCGAATTTCACCTGAATTTCCCCAAAATCTGAAAATTTCCCCAAAATTTCCAAATTACACCCAAAAAATTCCCAAAATGCCCAAATTTGATCCAAACATTTCTAAAAAAATAATCAAATTTCCCCCAGAATTTTCCAGAATTCCCAAATTTCCCCCAGAAGTCTCCAAAATATTTTCCACTTTTACTGGAAAATTCCCCAAAATTCCTCAAATTTCTCCTAAAATTTCCCTAAAATTCCCAAAATTCGGTAAAAAAAATCCCCAAAATTCTTCAAAATTCCAAAAATTCCACCCGAAAGTTCCCAAAAGATCCTGAAATTCCCCAAATTCCTCTCAAAATTCCCAAATTTCCCCAAAATTTCCAATTTCCCTCCAAATTCTGAAAAATGGCCCCAAATTCCGAATTTCCCCCAAATTCCCTTAAAAATTCCCAAAACTCCTCCCAAAATTCCCAAAACTTCCCAAAAATCCCCCCAAAATTCCCCAAATTCCCCCAAATCCCAAAATTCACCAACTTTCCCTGAAAATTCCTGACTTTTTCCCAAATTTCTCCAAAGTTTCTCCAAAAATTCCCAAATTTCCCCAAATTTCTGTCTAAATTTTCAAAAAATCCCCAAATTTCCCCCAAAATCCCCATTTTTTCCCCAAATTCCCCAAATTTCCCCCCAAAATCCCCAAATTTTACCAAAATCCCCAAATTTTCCCCCAAAATCCCCAAATTTCCCCAAAATCCCCAAATTTTCCCAAAATCCCCAAATTTTCCCCCAAATCCCCAAATTTCCCCAAATCCCCAAATTTCCCCAAAATCCCCAAATTTCCCCAAAATCCCCAAATTTCCCCCCAAAAACCCTCTCGGCTCCATATAAGGCAAAGTGGGCGGGGTTTATTGGCGGCCGGGGCGGAGCTGGATCCTGATTGGTCCGTAGGGCTGCGCCTGCTCCAGCTTCAGCCANAAGTATGGGGATTAAAGTGGGCGGGGCCTAATGGGGAAATTAATTAAAGTATGGGGATTAAAGTGGGCGGGGCCTAATTAGGAAATTAATTAAGGGGTGGGGATTAAAGTGGGCGGGGCTTAAAATGGGCGGGGCCTAATGGGAAATTAATTAAGGTGTGGCGATTAAAGTGGGCGGGGCCTATTTAGGAAATTAATTAAGGGGTGGGGATTAAATGGGCAGAGCTTAATGGGGAAATTAATTAAGGGGTGGGGATTAAAGTGGGCGGGGCCTAATTAGGAAATTAATTAAGGGGTGGGGATTAAAGTGGGCGGGGCCTAATTAGGAAATTAATTAAGGGGTGCATATTAAAATGAGCGGGGCCTAATTAGGAAATTAATTAAGGGGTGGGGATTGAAGTGGGCGGGGCCTAATTAGGAAATTAATTTGGTGGGGATTAAAGTGGGCGGGGCTTGAGGGAAGGGGCGTGGCCACGGCTCACCCAGGCACAGCGCGAAGGCCCGAGCGACGCGGGGCCGCAGCCAATCAGGGCCCAGGATGGCGCCAAGCTCCGCCCCCTCTGGGGCGCGGGCGTGCTCCAGGATCAGGCTGGCGGAGAGACAGGATTGGTCGGAAAAATTCCCAAAAAAAATGGGCAAAATCCCAAAAAATGTCCCAAAATATGTCCCCAAAATCTTAAAAAAATTAAAATAAAAATTCGCAAAATAATCCGAAAAAGTGTCCCAAAATATGTCCCAAAAATCTCAAAAAATTAAAATAAACATTCACAAAATAATCCCAAAAAATGTCCCAAAATATGTCCCAAAGATCTCAAAAAATTCCCCAAAAAATCCGCAAAATAATCCCAAGAAACATCCGAAAATATGTCCCAAAAATCTCAAAAAAATAAATGAAAAAAAATAATAATCCCAAAAAATGTCTCAAAAAATGTCCAAAAAATTCAAAAAAAAATCTACAAAATAATCCCAAAAAATGTCCAAAAATATGTCCCAAAAATCTCAAAAAATTAAAATAAAAATACACAAAATAATCCAAAAATATATCTCAAAAAATGTTCCCAAAATATTAAAAAAAAATTTAAAAAATACACAAAATAATCCCAAAAGATGTCCAAAAATATATCCCAAAAATCTCAAAAAATCAAGATAAAAATCCACAGAATAATCCCAAAAAATGTCCCAAAAATCTCAAAAAAATCAAAATAAAAATCCACAAAATAATCCCAAAAAATGTCCGAAAATATGTCCCAAAAATCTGAAAGAAATTAAAATAAAAATCCACAGAATAATGCCAAAAAATGTTCCAAAAAATGTCCCAAAAATGTCGAAAAATTAAAAAATACAAAAATTAATCGCAAAAAATGCCACAAATATCTCAAAATATTCCCAAAAACATGGCCAAAAAATTAATAAAAAATCCCAAAAAATGTCCCAAAAAAAGTCCGAAGTATCTCTAAAGATTTTTTAAAAATCCAACAAATAATTGCAAAAAATGTCCCAAAATATGTCCCAAAAATCTCATAAAATCAAAATAAAAATCCACAAAATAATTCAAAAATATATCCCAAAAAATGTCCCCAAAATTTCAAAAAATTAAAAAAAATCCACAAAATAATCTCAAAAACATCTTGAAAAATGTCCCAAAAATTTCAAAAAATTAAAAACAAAATCCACAAAATAATCCCAAAAACATCCCAAAAAATGTCCCAAAAACCTCAAAAAATTCACAAAAAAATCTACAAAATAATCCCAAAAAATGTCCTCCAAAATGTCCCAAAATTCTCATAAAATTAAAAAAAAATCCACAAAATAATCCCAAAAATGTCCCAAAAAATCTCAAAATTAAAAAATAAAAAAATACACAAAATAATCCCAAAAAAATTCCCAAAAATTCTCCAAAATTCCCAAAAATTCCTCAATAATCCCCATCAATTCCCCAAAAATGCCTAATAAAACTCCCCCTGAATTCCCAAAAAATTCCCCAAAATTCATCCCAAACTCCCCCAAAAAATCCCAAATCCGAAAATAATCCACAAAAAATCCCCCAAATTTTTTTTTAAAATCCCCAAAATTACCGAAGCTTTCCCAAAAATCTTGGGAAAATCCCAAAAATTCCCAAAAAAATTTCCAAACTCCCCGAAAAATCCTGCGAAAAATTCAAGAAATCCCCCCAGATTCTCCCAAAATTCCCAGGAATTTCCCCAAAAACTCCCCCGAAATTTAAAGAATTCCCCCCAAAATGTCCCAAAACCCCCAAAATTCCCCAAAATTCCCGAAAATTCCCAAATTTCCGAGCCCACCTGCGGAGGTCGAGGGGCGGCGCCTCCGGCAGCTCCGGCAGCAGCTCCGGGGGCGGGGCCGGGAGGGGCGGGGCGCTGGGGGCGGGGCCAAGCGTCAAACCACGCCCCTTTCATCATTAGCCACGCCCCCTTTCACTCCAAGCCACGCCCCCTTTCAATCCAAGACACGCCCCCTCTACCAATTAGCCACGCCCCTTTCGTCAAACCACGCCCCCTTTTAATCCAAGCCACGCCCCTCTCCCATTAACCACGCCTCTTTCAGCAAGCCACGCCCCCTTTTCCCCAACCCACGCCCTCCATCAAAGCCACGCCCACGCCTTTCCAAGCCACGCCCCCTCCATCCAACAAAACCGCGTCTGTTCTCCACAAGCCACGCCCCCTTTCTGGCCAAGACACGCCCCTTTTTAAATAAACCACGCCCCCTATTACACAATTCACTCCATTCATCAAAGCCACGCCCACTCCTTTACCAAGCCACGTCCACTCCATCCACAGGCCACGCCCCCTCTCCCAAAAGCCACGCCCACTCCTCTAAAAGCCGCGCCCTTTCAGAAAGCCACGCCCTTTTATTTCAAGCCACGCCCCTTTTAACTAAGCCACGCCCCTTTCCCCAACCTACTCACGCCATCAAAGCCACGCCCCTTTCCGCAAGCCACACCCCCTTTCTAACCAAACCACGCCCCTTTTTAACCAATCCACGCCCTTCATCAAAGCCACGCCCACTCCTTCACCAAGCCACNTCCATATAAGGCAAAGTGGGCGGGGTTTATTGGCGGCCGGGGCGGAGCTGGATCCTGATTGGTCCGTAGGGCTGCGCCTGCTCCAGCTTCAGCCAATGGGAGGCGCAGAGCTCTGGGGGGAAGGGGCGGGGCTTAATTAATATTAATTAAGGGGCGGGGCTTAAAGTGGGCGGGGCCTAATTAGGAAATTAATTAAGGGGTGGGAATTAAAATGGGCGGGGCCTAATTAAGGTGTGGGGATTAAAGTGGGCGGGGCCTAATGGGGAAATTAATTAAGGGGTGGGGATTAAGTGGGCGGGGCCTAATTAGGAAATTAATTAAGGGGTGGGGATTAAGTGGGCGGGGCCTAATTAGGAAATTAATTAAGGGGTGGGGCTTAAAGTGGGCGGGGCCTAATGAGGAAATTAAGGGTGCAGATTAAAGTGGGCGGGGCCTAATTAGGAAATTAATTAAGGGGCGCAGATTAAAGTGGGCAGGGCCTAACTAGGAAATTAATTAAGGGGTGGGGATTAAAGTGGGCGGGGCCTAATGGGGAAATTAATTAAAGGGTGGAGATTAAAGTGGGCGGGGCCTATTTAGGAAATTAATTAAGGGGTGGGGATTAAAGTGGGCGGGGCCTAATGGGAAATTAATTAAAGGGTGGAGATTAAAGTGGGCGGGGCCTATTTAGGAAATTAATTAAGGGGTGGGGATTAAAGTGGGCGGGGCCTAATTAGGAAATTAATTAAGGGGTGCGGATTAAAGTGGGCAGGGCCTAATGGGAAATTAATTAAGGGGTGGGGATTAAAGTGGGCGGGGCCTAATTTGTAAATTAATTAAGGGGTGGGGATTAAAGTGGGCGGGGCCTAATGGGGAAATTAATTAAGGGGTGGGGCTTAAAGTGGGCGGGGCCTATTTAGGAAATTAATTAAGGGGTGGGGATTAAATGGGCAGACCTTAATGGGGAAATTAATTAAGGGGCGGGGCTTAAAGTGGGCTGGGGCTAATAAGGAAATTAATTAAGGGGCGGGTCTTAAAGTGGGCGGGGCTTAAAGATTAATTAAAATAAGGGGCGGAGCTTAAAGAGGAAATTAATTAAGGGGCAAAGCTTAAAGTGGGCGGGGCTTAAAGTGGGCAGGGCCTAATGAGAATATTAATTAAGGGGTGGGGATTAAAGTGGGCGGGGCTTAATGTGGGCAGGGTCTAATATGGAAATTAAGGGGCGGGGCTTGATTTGAAGGTAATTGGGGCGGGGCCTAATGGGAAATTAATTAAGGGGTGGGGCTTAAAATGGGCGGGGCCTAATGGGGAAATTAATTAAGGGGTGGGGATTAAATAAAAAGAGTTTAATGGGGAAATTAATTAAGTGGGCGGGGCTTAAGGGAAGGGGCGTGGCCAAGGCTCACCCAGGCACAGCGCGAAGGCCCGAGCGACGCGCGGCCGCAGCCAATCAGAGCCCAGGATGGCGCCAAGCTCCGCCCCCTCCGGGGCGCGGGCGTGCTCCAGGATCAGGCTGGCGGAGAGACGGGATTGGTCGGAAAAATTCCCAAAAAAAACGGGCAAAATCCCAAAAAATGTCCCAAAATATGTCCCCAAAATCTTAAAAAAATTAAAATAAAAATTAGCAAAATAATCCCAAAAAATGTCCCAAAATATGTCCCAAAATTCTCAAAAAAATCTACAAAATAATCCCAAAAAATGTCCAAAACTATGTCCCAAAAATCTCAAAAAATTAAAATAAAAATACGCAAAATAATCCAAAAATATATCCCAAAAAATGTCCAAAAATATATCCCAAAAATCTCAAAAAATCCCCCAAAAAAATCTACAAAATAATCCCAAAAAAGTCTCAAAAAATGTCCCAAAAATTCCCCAAAAAAATCTACAAAATAATCACAAAAAATGTCCAAAAATTCCCAAAAAAATCCACAAAATAATCACAAAAAATGTCCCAAAATAGGTCCCAAAAATCTCAAAAAAGTTAAAATAAAAATACACAAAATAATCCAAAAATATATCCCAAAAAATGTCCCCAAAATCCCCAAAAAAATTTAAAAAAATACACAAAATAATCCCAAAAAATGTCCAAAAATATATCCCAAAAATCTCAAAAAATCAAAATAAAAATCCACAAAATAATCCCAAAAAAGGTCCCAAAAATGTCCAAAAATTCCAAAAAAAATCCACAAAATAATCCCAAAAAATGTCCCAAAAATCTCAAAAAAATCAAAATAAAAATACACAAAATAATCCCAAAATGTCCGAAAATATGTCCCAAAAATCTGAAAGAAATTAAAATAAAAATCCACAGAATAATCCCAA